CACATTAACATTCACAAAATCATGCAGTTCATGTGCTGGTTACATTTTGATCCAATGCACAGTAAGTTAATCACATAACTACTAGAAAAAAAAAGCGCGCTTCCGGGCACCACCTGAAGTCGCCTTGCACACGTGGGACGCCCTTGGGGAACCACGGGCTGGCTTCAGGCCCTCCCTCTCCATCTGGAGAAGCTGAGGCTCGGACAGATCGTCTGCACCCAGCCGCACGGCGACGGACAGCAGGGCCAGGGCAGGGCCAGGCTCCGGATGCCCGGTGGAGCCTTACCCTGCGTGTCCGCCCTGATGCAGGAGGCCGAAGAGGCCAGGGGCCTCGGGTCAGCCGGCCTCCGGCTGCTTGACCCACACCCGGCGACAGGGGGCCACGGGACCCATCGCCCCCCAGGAAGTTCAGGGCAGAACTTCCACAAGGTGGGATTTGGCTGAGGGGTCAGCGTTTCTGGAATCCTAGGGCTGCTGATGTCACAGTGCAGGAAGTCCCCCTGGCATCTACAGACCCTGCCTGGCTGGCTGGGGGTTATGCTGTCACAGTGATGATATGAGTCAGAAGACCCAGCACCCAGCAGTGTTGTTCTAAGTGTTTTAGACACAGTAACGATGTATTCCTCACACACCCCCATGAGGTGCCTGCGCCCCTGTAGTGAGAGGCAGAGCTGGGGTCTGCACCCGGCTGCTGGCCCAGAGCTCACGTTCTTAACGCCCCACCCGCTTTACTAGATGGAGGACCAACCTTCTGGGGTTTTGGTCCCTGCCCCTCGTCTGACGAGCACTTACTACAGGCCAGGCCCCGGGCCGCAGTATCATTACGGAAAAGGAGACTGCCTCGGATAGGAGGGATTGGAAGGGCCGAGCGGGGTCAGGAAGCCAGGTCCGTCCCGCTTCCAGGCCCGGGCATCCCCCGGGCACTCCCGGCCCGCGGGAGTTGCGTGGCACGGAATGCAGGTGCCCAGAGATGGACAGAGAAGCCAGGCCCGGGCATCCCCCTTCCGGTCCTCAGTCACCTGTTCAAGCTCTGCCCCCACTTCCGCGTGCCCAGGGCAGGGCTTGGGAGCGGAGGGACGCAGAGCCTCCTGGGCACCTATGGCTGGCACCCCCTCCACCCCGAGTGAGCCTGTGTCTGGGGGGCCATCAGCGCCCCTCCAAGGGTCTCAGAGTCCCCACCAGTAACTCCCGCCAATTTGTCTGGGGTTGATGATCAGAGGGGCTGGTGGACAATGGCCTCAGTAAAGCACTCAGGCCCTGGGGGAGCTCCCTGGTGGCCCAGTGGTTAGGATTCTGGGCTTTCGCTGCTGTGGCCCGGGTTCAATCCCTGGTTGGCGAACTGAGATCCCACAAGCCGCGAGGCGTGGCCAAAAACAAACAAAATAACCCCTCAGGCCACAGGCCATGGGGAGCCCTGGAGAGTCTTGAAGGAGTGAAGTGACGTGATCGGAGTAAAGTGAGCTCCCCGGTGCTCCCCACGAGAACCCCAAGAGAAAGAATGAACCGGGCGGTGGTTGTCGGGCAGAGGGGAGGAAACAGATGCCCCAGCTGCCAGGACTTCGTGAGTGACCGCAGGTGGGACCTGCAGCCCAGGGAGACTCAAGACTCCAACGAGCCCCTGGTTTCCGGCTTGAGCACCTTGGCAGCTGGTGGCACCACCGACGCAGATAAAGGAACTAAAAGCAGCCGATTTCCAGGCAAGGATGCGTTTATTTTTGGACGTGCTGATTTTGACAGGCTCTGTGGGCCCCAGCGGGGAGGGCCCAGCTGAGAACCAGGTAGAAGGTCTGGAGCTGGGGGTCAGGTCTGGGCTAGAGTCGGAGATTCTAGAATTAACGTCAGGAAACCACCAGAGAGAAAAGCCTCCGAGAAAACGTCCACGTTAAATTGTACATCGAGCTGAGCGGCCTGAGCGGGGAGGCCCGGGAAGCCGCGTATCTGGGGAGAAGGGTCCAGCGTCAGTGCGGCGTAAGGGCTGGGAGGGCCCGAGCCGAGGACGCGCTCTGGGTCCAGCAGTTACACTCACCAGCACCTCCACCTGTGGAGGGCTCGGGGGAGGGACTGAGTGGGGACAGGGAAGGGACCCCCATAGCCAGAGTTGAGCGTGGAGCCCACAGATGGGCCTTTCAGGGCAGGAGACTTGAGTGTGTGGATAGGCTGGGCGGCACCGGGCAACAGGACGAGCTTGGAGGTGATGGCGGTCCCAGGGAGAAGGGACACGTGGGTTGGCCTGGAACAGGAAGCAATCTCCAAGTCAAAGCAGTCGAGATAAATTGGAAGGAAAATTGCAGGTGGGGTAAGGAAATTGCGAGATCACCCCTAACGGCCTTGATTTTCCCCAAGCAGTGAGGCAAGATTTCCCACGTTAGGGAGCAGGGGACAGAAACACAGGAAGCTTGCCTAGGACTAATGCCAAAGGGCGAATGGCCCCCTGGAGGGGAGGGGGATGCGGTAGAGACGGTGAACCTGCAGACACCCTGCTCAGTCTTGTGGGCAGAACTGAGCTGCAGGGGTGGGGGCAGTGGGAGGGTGCTGGTAACGGGACAGGCTGGGCTGGAGACCCGTGGTTGGGGATTCGCAGGGTTAAGAATGATGCAAGGAAGCCAGAGAATGAAGGAGCAGGTCCGGGTTAGGGGTGGAGGGGGGAGGCCGGGAGCGGGATGGCCCCTTGCTCCCCGTTCCCCGCACGTGTCGCTTGACCAATTCCAAGGCTCGGTCCCCAGGGCCAAACCCAACAAGTTCTTGGGTGGGAAGAAACCTTTGCAGAACAGTGTGGCTGTTTGATGGGAGACAAATAGGACTTCTGAACACAACACAAGAACTTATTTCTCAGATGAGGCGGGGAACAGCTCCTTCTGGCCTCTGCTGAGCTGGCTGCAGGGACCCTGCTCCAAGGTCACTCATAGAAAGGCGCCGAGGCACACCTGGGAGTAGCTGTCCGAAACCAGTGTGTGCGCGAAGTCAAAGCACATTGAGAGGCTGGATTACTGGCTGAGCCCTTAAGACACTGAAGAATCATTCCTAACCTTTTACATTAATTTATTTTCACATACTGGGCTTATTTACAGATAACAACAGCTGCCTGCTACAGACCAAATCCTTAAGACTACCCGACAGGTCAGATCACCTGCAGGACTCGACCAAGACACAGAGAAACTACAGTACTCGAGGTCTCCCCTGGGCAGTGTCTGGCAATTTGAGACACCAGTGTCTGGATTGGTGATTGACAGGCCGACACACCCATCTACCCACTGTTGGAAAACATCCCCATCGTGGAAGAACGCGCAGCCCACCGAGGCCTCTGAGGCAGCGGGTGGCCTGGCCGGCACCAAGTGTACGCTGGGCAAACTAGGGCGGAGACACAGCCGGCACTGGGTCCTCTGCGCAGCCAACTGCGGCCCACGTACCTCTCGCTAACCCACCACAAGCCTCCCGCTGACCAGGCACGCTGGCCCAGGACCCGTCAACCCCGCCCCTCCACTGTGTCCCTCGCTCACTTCCAATGCCAACCCCAAGTCTCTGCTCCTCTGGAGCACCGTCTACACATCACCCCGCCCGTGCCCTTCAGTACCTGTACATGGCTCTGAACTTGGGCGCATCTTTGCAAACTGAAATGCCCACCCCACCAAGACCCTGGCTCAGGGAGCCACACGGAGCCTTCTCAACACGTTGACTTGGACAAACCCCACGGGAAGAAATTCAATCAGATCCAGCTGGGCCACCAGGCCCTTGTTTCTGCCTGGGTCCCGGACGCACCCCCGCCACACTTCTGGGACGGATGGATGGATGTGACTCAGCCCTGGTAGCCACTGGAAGATTCTCCTGGCAGCGCCCTTTCCCTGGCTGCCCCCACCCCTGAGTACCTGCTGGTTTTCACCTAGGGAAACGTACGGGCTTTTCAGTGAGCGCCACGTACTGTATCTGTAAGATACTGCCATCAGACACTGTTCAGAGTTTCAGGGGACTCTCCCACAAAGGTGAAACACAAACTCAGGAGAGTTCCTAAGGGTCAGTTCACCCACTGCCCCCTGCAGGGAATGGAGCCTGAAAGGAGCAGCGACCCCGCCCAGGCCCCCCGTGGGCTCCGTCCGCCACAGCCACCTGGACTGTCCGCCCCCTGCCTCTCTGCCTGGACCCCTCAAGGACAATGCTCCTGTCCCCTCTCTGGGTCCACTTGTGAAACACTCGTAGTCCTTGAAGTCTCTTGAGATCCACAAAGTGAGACAAATAAGACAATCTCATGATGCTTCCTTGATTTACAAGTAACAGAAGGATGACATTCCTCTCCATGCACTGGTACAATGAAATTCAGGGACAAGTGTCAATCTGAGGATAGGAGCCCAGGTGCTCAGAGCCACCGCTCGGCCTCGGGGTCCTGTGGTCCCATCAATGGCTCAGCAATTGCAGACCGGGGCGGGAGGTTGGGGGGGGGGGCACCGCCTGGCTTCCGAAGTGGGAGGGGGGGCCAGGAGGCAGAGTAAGCAGGGCACTTGGCTCTGCCTGCATTGATGGGAGAAAAGCAAGGAGAAGAGAAGCCGGAACAGCGTCCAGGTGCGCCCTGAGGACGACGGCCGGGCTGTGGCACCAGCCTTCCCAGCAGAGCCGTCCCGAGGGCTGGAGTGAGGCCAGGCCAGGCCAGGGCCGACGAGTCGGGTCGGCAGGAAGCCGGCCGTGCTTTCCTGTCCCACACTCAGCTGCTGATGACCGAGCTCCCAAGGTCTGGAGCCGGGAGGGTGGCAAGGAGGGAGCAAGGTGACAGGGTCGCTCCAGTCCCATGGCCCCCAGCCCTCCCCGGCGAAGACCACCTGCACAGGTAAACCGAGACCACGGGCCCAGCGCTCTTCCTAGATTATGCAGCTGAGCACGTGTCAAAGCAGAGGGAGAAGGGAAAACAGCCCGGGCTTTAAGGGGGAGACCGGAGGGCGGCACTGAGTGGGGAGAGCGGCCAGCTCCGTGCGGCCTCCGGCCCTGCCCTGACCGAGGCCTGGCGGCACTGCTGCCTAGCTGAGCATCTTGTGCCGATCGAAGACCGTCTTCCGCTGTTCCTGCACCTGCAGCTTCCACCGCTGCTGCGCTCCCTCCACGCGCTCCAGGACCGTGTTCGCCCGGGGCCCGGAGAAGGTGGCGGCCGCCACAGAGCGCGCGTCCTGTTGCGAGAAGAGGAGGCTTGGCACCGCGAGCCGGGGGGTCTCAAACGCCTGACATTATTAAACAGTGCCAGGAGAGCGACCCCAAAGGCCTCCCCGAGGGCCCACCCAGCACAGGGCGCCCACGGCTGCGGGATGGGCGGGGGCCTGGGAAGCGGGGGCTCTGGTCAGGCCCGGCCGCGCCCCAGACTCGCTCCTGACCCTCAAGAGGAGCGCGGAGGGTCAGCACAGAGGACGCGATGACCCTGTCGTTCGAGGAGAGGCACCATGTGCCCCCACGGCTGGTAGCCGGCTGCAGAACTCCTCGGCCCTGCCGGCCACGGCCAGAACAGCAGGGAGACCCCGAGGACCTGCTCTGCCGGGGCTGCGACCCCAGCTCACTCCCCGAAGGACAGTGTCTGTCAGGGTGGAGGTGGGAGCTCACCCTTCATGCCCATTCCAGAGCCAGAGCCGCTCTGGCGCCCTCCCCACTCTGCCCCATCCCCCCCCTCCCCCGCCCTCAGAACTGCCGCTGCCGTCAAAGGCAGCATCTCCCCCTAATTACCACTTCTCTGCCTCTGAAGCTCCAGAGCCTATGCATTTCCTGCAGGACCCGAACCTGATCTCAGGGGGGAACTGGAGCCAAGGGCCAGGCCCACAGCCCGGGGGATTTCCTCCCCAGCTCTCCCTGCCTCTCATCTCCTGCCACACACCTCTTAAGGAATTAGCACACCTCTCTAAGCCCAGGGCCGCCCAGCAACTGCAACTCTGCTTCTGATGCCCCGAGCTGGCACAGCTTCTGTCGCCATGCAGCTGCCAGGCTGGGGAGGTAGGGGCGGGGGATGGGGGCAAGGGGTGGGGAGGCAGCGTACTGGCGGCGGGCGGTGAGGCTGGCAGGTCGTCACTGCCGCCCAGAGTTCTGCCCAGGGTGAGTTAGAGACGGACGCTGCCCACCGGGAGCCCTCAGCCCGGGACCCCGAGGAAGCCTACTCTGCCAGGCTGGACGAGGACCACGGCAGCACCTCAGGGGCAGGTGCTGGAGCATCAGAGTCGAAGCCAGGACCCTGGGTTCTACAGCTGGCCACCTTCTCCCAGTCTCGGCCACTTAGGAGCTGTGTGTCCTTGACAAGCCACTTGATTTCCCCAAGCTTCAACTTAGTAAACCCGACTTCTTAGGCTTTTCTGCCTATACTGTCACACACACACACACACACACACCCCTTCACACAACACTCAGCATGCTGGTCATGACTCAGGACCTCGTGGGTGGCGCCCCACACCCTAACACACACGGTTTATGACCAGGAGCGGGGTACGGCAAGGTTACATACAGTAACACGTGTAACGTCCTCAGCGCACCGCTGTCAAGAGTTGGAGCCTGCGGGGTGTTCAGTTTCCTTCCTCCCCAGCAGTTCACGGTGGGAAGATGACTGTGGAATCAAACCTGGCTCTGCACCTGGGCTCTGACCCTGGAGCACGACCCTGGCTGACACCCTGTCCTCTGAACCTGCTTCCCACCCATGGATGGAGCCTGCAGGAGCATCTTCTCAGGGACAGTGGGCGCACAGCGTTTAGCGGTGCCTGGCAGATCACAAGCACTCAATTCACAGCACCTGTCAGTGTGAGACCCACTCCCGGAGCCCCCAGGCAGGAGGGGGGACCTGCCCTTGAAAGGTCACTGGTGTCGCTACTTTTCAGATTGTCCCTTCCCGGTTCAGAACCAGCCTCTGCATGGCCGTCTAGGTGAGGGGGCACTGGAGACCCTCGTGGGAGGCTGTTGGCCCTCCAGGACCGAGCTATCCCGGCTCCAGGGCTACAGGGGCTTCTCTCCCCGCCGGCCTGCCCACACTCTCATCCTCCTGGGAGCCTGGGGGCAGGCCTGGCAGGGCGGAAAAGCACCGCCTGCCCCCTCCTTGCACCCTTCCTGGCCCCGGCTGCTCTCCTGTCCCATCGGGAGAGCGTCTGGAGGGAAAGCAGCGCGTTAAGGAACAGCTGAAATTCACATTTCCACAGGACCACTTGTTTTTCCTTCACGTAAAGCCTTGACAAACAGGTCCTAAGCCGGGAAAGCTGCGACTGAGAGGCTCTGCGCTTCCACCGCTAATAGTCTGATTAATGGGTATTAGAGATGCCACGTCTGTCCTAGAAACGCTGAGAGTGGGGCCTGGTCCTCACCGGCTCTGTCACAGGAGAGATGCTACCACTTCCAACCCTCTTACCCCCCAAGCTGGGCCTCTGGGCAGTGAGGGCAGGAGGGGGAGCCCTGCCCACCAGGAGGAAGGTGCCTGCTACGGACGGGGCGGGACAGGCCTGAGGATGAGCGTCCCTGGGTGCCGGGCGCTCTCTTGGCGCTGCACCTGCATTATTCCCAGGCTCACGAGACTGGCTCATGGGCTACGTGACTCTCATCTGCGGCTCTGCTGCCCAAGGTCACACAGGATTTGGACCCGTGTCTCCCGAGCCCCACATTCAAGCCGTCTGGGCTGGCTGAACCGTGCGCGCCTGGCCTGGCCTCCCTGCCCCTGGCCTCTGGCCCTGCCACCCCTCAGCCTTCCTGCCTGCAGTGAGGGCAGCCCTTCAGGTCAGGGCCCCAGTGAAAGGTCTTGCTCTCAAGGCTGCACAAACACTTGTAAAGCTGCACACACGGCATCACAGCAACCACGCTGAGACAGGAAAACCACGCTGACTTTTCAGACTTGGAAAACTAACCACAGGGTTAAACACCGGGACAGCGAGTGCAGAGCTGAGACTGTGGCCCAGGATCACAATCCCAATGCCACACTCCTAACAGCTGGGCCACGAGGTCCTGACGGCCGTTCTAGAGATGTCCGCCAGCCCTGCCCTTCCTCGTCCCCCTTCCTGCTCTGGGCTCAGGGGGACGAGGGCCCTGTCCCTCTTGGGCTCCTCACTGCCCTGGGAAGGGAGGGTCCCCGGGTGCCATCACTCCTGCACACCCATCTCTCCCCTGCTCCCGCCCAGTGGGCTGTGGTCTCGGGGGACCCTGCAGAGCTGAGGCCCACAGACACCCACAGCCTTGCAGGAACCCTTCCTTCTCTCTCTTCAAAAGGGGCCAAACCGGGCTTCCCTGGTGGTGTAGTGGTTAAGAGTCCGCCTGCCGATGCAGGGGACACGGGTTCTTGCCCCGGTCCGGGAGGATCCCACATGCCGCGGAGCGGCTGGGCCCGTGGGCCATGGCCGCTGGGCCTGCGCGTCCGGAGCCTGTACTCCGCAATGGGAGAGGCCACAACAGTGAGAGGCCCGCGTACCGCAAAAAAAAAAAAAAAAAAAAAAAAAAAAAAAAGGGGCCAAACCTACACATCTAGCACAGCTCTGTTTGCTGTTTCTGCCCCAGCAAAAAGGCCGGCTTCCTCCTTTCAAAGGGCGTCTGAGCCGGGGGATTAGTCCCGATGCTGCTGGAATCAGGAAAGGCAGCGCCCCGCACCAGGGGCCCACCGGGCCGGCCGGCACCTTCAGAGGGAGCGGGGCTTTCATCTCCTCAGCGCGGTGGGCCGGGCCCCCCTCCTCTCTGTCCTTGAGCCCCAGGGCAGGAGCTCCCGGCTACAGGAATGGGGGGACAAAGCCAAAGGGCCCCCATCCTAGGATGCGATCGACCCCCCCGACTCCTGGGGTGTGGAGGGGAGCCTTCTCAAGGTCACTGAGTTGCACAGGCCTAGAGCCTGACTTTCTTCCGCTTGGGGTGAAAGCTAAGTCCCCCGCCCTGGGGGGACCCCATCCCTCTGAAGGGAAATGCTCTTCAGAGCATTTCCAGAGATTCAGCTCAGCCAGGCAGGGCCCCCTCCCCTCGCCGGCCCCAGGCCCGGGCGCCACCGTGGTCTCCGCTCCACTCAGCTCCAGCGGCCCCAGCACTTAAGCGGCCCCTCCCCACCACGGAAGAGCCCCGCTGCCAGGAAGCCTTCCCACACTAACACCGAGGAAAAGTCAGCCCCAGCTTCCCCCGCCCCTCCCCTGACATCCTTCTATCCCACATCCCTGACCCGGGGCTCTACCCCAGGCTCGTACCCTGAGGGCGGGCCCGAGGTCTGTGCGTCTGTCTACACGGGGCACCTGCAGGACCTGAGTACATCAGGAGGAAGAGAAACGGACGGGGCGAGCCGGGGTGCCCAGGGCGGGGCCCATAAAGAGCCGTGTGGCTTGCCCTCCCTTCGGGCTCCGCAGCCAGGTGGCACGCATTCCGGGAAGGCCGCGGGGGGAGGCCGCGGAGCCGTGTAATCATGGCCCATCTCTCAGCCGCTCCCCAGCCAGGACTGCAATTACCACAAGCATCCCCTAATCACGGCGTACTCACCCGCGCCGCGCTGCCCCCAGCAGAGCCGCTGTTACCGCGCGTTAATAACCAGGTAGGCGCGTGAGATTTCCTCCTGGACAGAGACCACCCAGCTGCCAGCCCGCCCGCCCGCCCCCCCACCCCGCCTCCCAGCCCCAGCTCCACCGGCAGGGCGCGTGTCAGCAGGAGGCTGGGGGCACCCACCCAGGAGGAGCCATGGGGTCCAGGGACGGGCCAGGCCCCCTCCCTCCCTGGCCGTGTGCACGCCTGCCGCATGCGGCCGGCCAGGCAGCTTCACGCTGAGGTCTGAGCCCCAGCCCCTCTTCTTGGAGGGAACCTGCCCTTACCAGCTCCACCCGCTGCGTGAGATGCTCTCAAGGGCGACAGCCAGCCGGCGCTGCAGCCTAAGCCTGGCGCTCTAGTGACCACTCACCCCTTCACCTTGCTCACCTGTGTCTCTGCAGGAAAAGTCCCTCTTACACGTGTTAACCTCCCAGCTGTGGTCCTTCCACCCCGACTTTACATAAACCAGGGTGAGGCCGAGCTCTCCGCACCTGCGTGCAGCTGGTCCCCAGGACAGGAAGCGTCCTGAGCCCCACCTGCCCACAGATGCCACCCTCTGGGGCACCCCTCCTCCCTCACTGCTGTCTCGGGCACACGTGGCAGCTGTGCAGACCCGAGGGGGCGAGCTCGAGGGGCACAGGCCAGGAGCCCCTGACACCGTCACAGCTCTGCATGGCACACACCACCTCTCACTCCCACAGAGCTGCCTGCGCCTCCTGTGTCCCACCCTGGGCTCCCCTGACTCTCTGGGCACACGCTCCAAGTCCACCGTCAGCCTGACACCAAGGTCTGAGCACCCACATGTGGCTGCCTGGCGGGCTCACTGCCCCTCTGCTAGGAATGCAGGGCGACAAGGAGGCTCCCGACCTGTGCACTGAAGCTGCCTGATGCCAGATCAGGGAAAACTCAAGGGTGCCCCCGCTGAGGAGACACTGCGGTCGGGTGGCGCGTAGGACACCCGGCGGGAGAGCCGACTGGAGCGCCGGGGGGGAGGGCGGCCGCTGAGGCCCCAGGGACGCCGCGTGTGGGCGGAGGGGCCGCTACCTCGTTCTCCTGGCTGTGCAGCCGCTCAGTGTAGGCGTCCGGCTTTCGAGTCAGAGGGTCCACCAGCATCAGGAAGGCCATGTAGAGCAGGAGGGCGCCCACCACCGACAGGTAGATAACGATGATGACCTGCGAGTGGAAGGGACCCAGCTCGCCCTGCGGGCTGCCGCTCCCCTCCCTTGCAGTCTGTCTTCACCGGGCAGCGTGGCCCCAAGTGCTCCCTGCACACGGGCCAGGAGACTGCGGGCGCGGAGAACGACCCACTCCACCTTTGCTGACCGTGCCCTCGGCGGTCAGGACCCCACAAGAGCCACCAGTTCTCTGGCAGCACAAAGATGACAGATGAGGCACCCCCAGGAGTGGAGAGAGGGGAGGGGAATCTGCCCGGCCAGACGGGGGCGGGGGGAGTGCCCGTCAGAGTGGGGAGAACCGAGCCCTGCTGAGGGCAGCACAGGGTGACGGGGTGGGAGCTTCAGTCCATAGAGGGCGAGTCACCGTCAGGGGGCAGAGGGGACAGGCAAGCGGCCACAGCCCCTCCCCTGTCAGCAACAGCGGGAAGTGAGGCTGGGGCAGAAAGACAACTCCCAGAATCTCTTACATGCCTGGAGAGCCTCCCAAGCTGCAGCCATTTTCGTTTTACAGGAAAAACAGTCAAAGAAGCTAACGAGATGTTTCCCAGTGTGAGTCCTCCGGGCACCTTAGGCAGGACTCCCCAGGACACTGCTCTCCATGGTCAGTAACACACCGCAGTTACTGGGGCCACAGTACCCCAGGGGCTGACACTCACCTGATGCTGACCCCCCCAGGCCACGCCATCACCCTCAGTCCTAAGAATACCAAGTGGTGGATGTGCCTGGAACCCAGATTTGCTGTGACCGCAACGCCTATGCCTCTTCTGCTCCCCAACTGCCACCTGTCGCTGCCGACCCTAGCCCCGTGTCTATGCTGTGACGGGAGCCGAGCTCGGTCCACAGCCAAGTCCAGCTGGACCACACGCCTCCCTGACTGGGGCATCTTCAGCCAGGGTAAAGGATCAGAACTCTTGCCTGTACCCCAGGAAGGGGGGGGCTGAAGCTGGAGGTGGTTCTCTCTGGTCTCTTAGCAAGGACTAGAGGGAAACGGGGATTAGGAAGTGTATCTGATGAGGTCCCCACGTCAGGAAGTCCCTTCCAACCTAAGGTCTTGGGGACCTGGTCCCCCAAGCGTGGGGCCAGTGGATAAGCTCAGAGGGGAAGGGGTGATGATAGGGAGGGTGGACAGGCAACCGCCTCCACCTCAGAGGGAACAGGATGAGCACCATGGGCCAGGCAGCGAGGGCAGCGGTGAGGACCACTTCCCCTCCAAAAGAACCTCGGAAGGGAAGCCCGACGGCAGGCTCGGGGCTGCTGCCAAAGTCCTGCGGGTTCTCTCCTGATGCTATTTCCAGGCCCTTCACCAGACACGCAGAAATAAGCTTAAAAGCTGGACCAGGAGAGGCTTATGTTGGAAATCGGCAAGCATGGCCAGGCTCGCCCTGGCTGGGGTGTGGCGGTGCTGGGGGATCGTCAGCCTGGAGGGGACCAGGGACCAGGCCTCTCCATGTCCTCACTGTGTGCTGGTGGCCATTCCGCCACCTCCCCTGAATTCACTGATGCCCACAAGAATGGGGTTCAGGGGAAGCAAGGGGGGCGTCTGATGCCCATCCTGCCAGGCCCGCAGCTCTGGAAGCTTAAGCAGACTGCAGGCTCCGGAGGGCGGGCTACCTCCGCCCCAGCATCTCTCACGGTGCCCAGGACACAGCAGGAGCCCGGAAATGTCTACTGAACACACGGAAGGCGAGAGGGGAGAGGAAGGTGGGGAGCGGGCGGGTCCCCGGCCCCCCTGGCCCCCCGCGAGTGACGGCGTCAGCCGGGACAGCGGCCCCAAGGCGGGTGGGAAGGGGGTCCCTGGGCTGCGACCAAGCCAGCCTCGGGGCCAGCCCCCCAGCCCCCCAGCCCGAGCAACGCTGCAGAAGGAAACAGGACAGGATGGAGGGCGGGGCGGGGCCGCGCAGGCCCCCCAGGAAGAGGGGGCGGGGCGGCCGCCGGGCACCTTGATGGTGGTGGTGCTGCGCTCCTCGTACTTGCACTCGCACAGCAGGCAGTAGGCCTCCACGTCGTGGCCGGGCACCGGCATGGGCTCCACCACGTGCAGGCAGTTGCTGCAACAGACAGAGGGTTGTGGGGGCAGCCGGGGGTCTCCCCAGGGAGGGGAGGGTCTCTGAAGGGTCAGGCTGGCGGAACCCCTTTCCCAACCCACAGCCTCTCGAAGCCTTTGCCCTCCGCGACTCACCGGGTGAGTGTCCCAGCGGCACAGACTCCACCCCCACCCCACCCCAGTCCCTCGGGTCCAGGGTCTGTCCCCGTGGCAGGCAGCACCTCCGCCAGGCCTCCTCTAACCCACGGATGCACCACAAGCCAGTGACTATGCCGTCTTCAACATCTCTGAACCCCACTTCCCTATCCCCTCCCACTGCTGTGTCTCAGCCGGGCCCTGCCACCAGGAGCCTGGTGCCCTGGGCCCGAGCCTCCTTTGGGAGCTGCGCCTCTGGGAGCTGCAGGGGTGGCGCCGGATGACCCTCCAGGCCCTTCTAGCTCTGGCCCGGGCTGTCCCAGGGGCCCTCAGGCTCAGGCGGGGTTTCTGGCAGAGGCACCAACAGTGTGGGCTGGCATGTCCTCCACAAGCCTCTGTTCCCCCTAAAAGTCCATATGTGGAGGGTGTGATTTTACCTGAACCTCTGATGACCCCACTTCCAGCGCTGGGCAGGTGGTTCCCTGCTGTAACTCAGCCCCTGCCCGGGGAGGGGCCGCTGGACAGGGCCAGGTCCACACCCAGCACTGGGTCATCACTCCTGGGACCTCCCCTCTCCGGGGGCCTCTACCAGCCTCTGAGGCCCAGATTTCTCGCTGGGTCTGGAAGGTCACTCTGGTGCACCAGTGGGACGTGTGGGTTCCCCACAGGGATGTGTCCTCTCCCCAGAGAATCAGTGAAACCGTGGCGTGTCCCTTTTTGGGGATCAGTGATAGCGCCGTAGGGTGAAGGGTTACCGGAGGGCAGGCTGGTTAAGTCTCCGCCTTCTGCAGGTGATGTATGTAACTTCTCTGGGCCTCGGTGTCGTCATGGACACGTGAGGACATGTGTGTGTTTATCAGTGTCCTTCAAAATGTGCTCCCTGGGGCACCCCAGGGCCCTCTGTGCCGGAGGGTGGGAGGGAGGGGCCACGGACGCTCCGCTCAGCAGGGGCAGTCCTGACTTCTACACAATGTGTTTCCAAAACAGATTTGTTTGAAGCCTGTATTTTTAGAAGTGTGAGAGACACTGCACTAGCCAGCTCGGGGACTGTCTCTATAGTGCACTCCTCGGGAGCTCCACCATCAGGGAGAAGGTGTCGGGGTTTCTGCCCCTCACAGGCACGAGGACCCCCAGCATGAGACGGCAGAGCGCCTGCAACACGGGAACGTGGCCTGTGCCGCTCAGACACCCTGGCTTCACCCCTCTCCACCAGGGGAGGGCCCAGGTGTCCTTCTCGCAGTGGAGGGACCATGCGGAAGGGGCCCGAGGACACAGCTGGTCTCCTCTGGCCCTGGCCTGAGGTCTAGGATCAGAGGGTCAGGCCCCACCCCTCCCCTACAGGGCTCCAGGCAGCCTGCGATGCCTCCCCTCCCTGACAGGCCAGGGTCGCTGGGTCCCAGAACCCTGGGGTCTTACATCCCAGCCTCAGGTTCCACCCACCAGCCTTCGTGGAACTGTTTCTCAGGCAGCCCCTAATGCTGACTTCCCAGGGGAAGGAAATAAACCACAGCCTGAGAGGTCCAGGTAGGACTCCGTCCTCCGTGGCATCCACGCTTGGCTTGGGGCCTTACTCTGGCCCCAGTGCAGAGACAGTGCTGGTATAATGTGGTGGTGCCTGAGGGATGTAGCTGGTGTCTGGGCTGAGACAATCTAGTCCTTTATTCCTGACGCTATTTGAACTGTAACCACAAGATACAAAGAGGTCACAGGGGCTTCCCCAGGGCTCCAGGTCCTGGGGCTTTGTAACTCCGCCAGGACTGGCAAAGACAGAAGGAAACTGGGGCTTCCCTCTTGGGCTGTGGCGTAAGTTGGCCTCTTCATGGCCTCCAGGAAGGCATAACAATATACATTACTAATACTATCAGCCGACATTTATACGGCCTCACCATGTGCTGGGAATTGTTCTAAGTGCTATACTTACTTGTACATGCATTGCACAAGTGTGCGCTCACGCACACAAACACATACAAACACACTCTTATTTAATACTCAAAACACTGCCACCGCTTTACAGATGAAGAAACTGAATACACTGGGGATTAAGTAACTTGTTTCACAATGAACAAGGAGAAAAGCTAGATTGAAAGGCAGGCAGGGTCGATCCAGAGTCTGCATCTAACCAGACTGGTTCTCAGAAAATCACACACTCAGAGCTGGACAGGTTCAAAATCCCCAAATGCTGCTCTGGACCAACCGCATCACAATCACTTATTTAAGAAAAAGTTTCTGCCATGCCCCAACCCCCATATTCACTGAATGAAAATCTTGGGCGGGGTGGGGGGCGGGGGGGGGCTGGTATATAACATACCGCATGGTGACTATCATTAACGATACATGTTAACAATTATGTACACTTGAAGTTGCTAAGAGAGTAGATCTTAAATGTTCTACCACACCCACACCTGCAAGGCTACCCTGTGAGGCGATGGAGGTGTTGTCTAACCTTGTTCCACAATAGATACATGTATCAAATCACGTAAGCTTATACAACGTCACATGTCTGATTCATCTCAATAAAGCTGGGAAAAACAACAACAAAAAAGAACCGAAAAATCATGGCGGAGGGGGTGCTGGGACTCTGTATTTTCTCAAAGCCCACCTGGTGATCCTGACACCTGACCAAGTAGAGGCAACGCTGACCTGGGCTCCCCCGTGTGGCGTAACCGCTCCGCGGGGACCGGATGCAGGCAGCACCACACCTGCGCTCATAGCCTCCGGAATGAGGCGCCCCTGCTCCTCAAACGGCCTGCAACGCCCCCTCAACTCACACTTCAATCTGGTTCCCTGGAGCTCTCCTTGCTGGCCCCAGTCCTACACCCAAACCACACGGCGCGCCTCAGAGCACGCCAGCCCCTCTCCTGCCCTCTCAGCTGCGTGTGTCCCCAAGTCCTCTCCTTCTCAGACTATAATCCCTTAACCCGTTCTCTCCAGGAGAGCATGCTGAAACTTCCTTCAACAAGCTGATGTCCTTTCTCTGAATGATTTTTTGATTATTTCTCTTTTTTTTTTTTAAATTTATTTATTTTTGCTGCTTTGGGTCTTCATTTCTGAGCAAGGGCTATCTCTAGTTGTGGCAAGTGGGGGCCACTCTTCATCACGGTGCGTGGGCCTCTCACTATTGCGGCCTCTCTTGTGGAGCACAGGCTCCAGACGCGCAGGCTCAGTAGTTGTGGCTCACGGGCCTAGTTGCCCCGCGGCATGTGGGATCCTCCCAGACCAGGGCTCGAACCCGTGTCCCCTGCATTAGCAGGCAGACTCCCAACCACTGCGCCACCAGGGAAGCCCTATTTCTCTCTTTTTTGAAGTGAGGCATCCAGAAATGAATTCAAGACTCCAGGAGTATAATGTAAATTCTCTTTGGGCCTCAATCTCGGCAGCTATAAAATGGGAACACAACCCATCCCACTGCCTTACAAGGTGGTTAGACACTGGCATCAAATGACGCGTGTAACAGAGCTTCGCCAAGCGCACGCAAGTAGGTGAAAGATCCCCCGGTACGTGGCTCTAATATTTACCTCTCCCAGCTTCTCTGTTACCATTTTGCAGATATGAACAAACACCCAAATCAAAGCAAATCAAAATAACAAAATCCACTCCTCTGACCAGGAACCCCTCAGCTGGAATTTAAGAAATGTGAACCCTATTTCTAATCGGTTGTGTGACCACGGACAAAACATTCCTTTGTAAGGTTCTCCATAGAAATGGGAGAGCAAGCTTATCCTCCAGGGGTCCATGAACCCCAGTCAACACCCACAACCTCAAGGGCCAGCCTGGGCAATGCCTTACCAGTCCTTCTGTGACACATTCTGGTTGTAAATGTGTCCACTGATGTTTCTATATGGTGGACAGATGCATTTGCACCGGATATCTTCAGAACTCTGCGAGAGAAAGCACATATCAGGTGGGCATGGCCCCTGGGTTCAAGTTCTAGCAAGACTCTCCACTTTCAGTTCCCTGTTCCATAAGGTGACCATATGAATGCTCCTGACCTCCGCCCACGCCCAAGTTCAGCAG